TAAAAAAATAATAATTTCATTTTATTTTTCAAAAATACAAACACACGCGCAAGAACAAAACACAACACTGTACAAAAACACTGCAACACACGGCCTGCAGGACACTCTCTGAATTTAGAGACTCCTGACATGTGAACCGTCTTCTTCTTTAGTGAAGCAAATAAAACTGTGTCCACGGGGATTAAGTTTAGTCCTACAATTAGTTCTATGAAGCTGATATGAAGTCATCGCCAGCACCTACTCTCATGGCCAGGCTATCTATAGATTTAAACAGTGGAGTCGGAGAGGGGAGGAAGGGAACATGTTTTCTCCAGCTTTTTCATTATTTTAAGCTTGTAAAACCAGATACTGGGATATGAGCATATAATGGCTGTAAGGTTACAGCTCAGTGATGGGCAGCCTAGGCTTGTGAGGGCCACATGAATGGCCCCCCTTCATCTCAGTGGGCCCCGAGATTGTCGGAACTAAGCCAGCTAGTTTTGCTACCTGATCTTGCGTACCTAGAATTTGGGGGTTGTGCCGACTGAACCGTAGCAGCACTTTGATTGGATGCAGAGGGAGCACACGGCTCCCATAATGTTGTGTGCAATCAACATGGACCTCATTTCATGTGCCCTGGCTTTACATGCCTGTCATTTTAGTAACATCGGTAAGAAAAAAAAACGTATGGAAGAAAACGAGCAGAATCTGGCAACCCTGCGCACGGGCAACAGTAAACAAAATATCTCACAGGCTGCACAAAGAATCCCAACTGGTTGCATTCAGCCTTCGAGCTGCACGTTGCTCACCACTGTTATAGCTCCCCCTTGTTGCTAAGCATGTCCTGATGGCATTTCACTATAGTCTATGTGGAGCTTGCCGTACCTACCTCTTGGAAATCGCACGCTCCCTGGCGACCAGAGAAAGGAAGCTTTCTTTACATTGGTGTGTGCAAGTACGAGCTCAAGTACTGAAGCCTAAGAATGTGCCGTGAGGTAAGGAAGGTGATGAACAGAGACGTAAGGACCTGAGAGAGATGGATCAGGCAATGTTACCCGAGGAGCCCTGTGTGGCTAGAGAATGTATATATGCGGGTGCAAATCGGTATCCGCGGCAACTGCTGCTCTCAGGGGCTAACCCCCTGCACTGGCAGCATCGCAGCTGCCCCTGGCTGGGCAGTGGGGGGGGCTGAGGGTGATACAGCCTCGCCAGAGGCGCTGTCAGTATAGGTCTCTAGCTCCTGGAAGCATCAGCTTTTGCCACTGCAGTGCCTGGTACAGCCCAGCAACTCCATGGGGCTCTATTCATCTGACCCTCCCCCTCTTTAATGTGTCTCTGAGGGGTGGCTGTGTGAGTCCGTTTCCATAAAAAACAACAAAGAATCCTGTGGCACCTTAAAGGCTGAGGTTTATTTGGACATCAGCTTCCATGGATCAAAACCACTTTGCCAGATGCACCCGCAATATACATTTTCTATCCACACAGGTAGATCTGCCAATGCGCTTTTGACAAAAGCTGATGCCCAAACAAACCTGTTTGTCTTTAAGGAGCCACAGGACTCCTTGTTGTCATTAGTGGATTTATCCTCACCACACCTCTGTGAGAGAGGGCAGTGTGGCTGTCCTCATTTTACAATGGAGACCTGGGGGCTAGAGAGGTTAAAGGGATTTCCCCAAGGCCATTCAGGAAGTCGGTGGCATCTTCTCTCTTTTCGGTTAAGTAGCAGGCTAGCTAGCTTTCTCACCATCTATGTGGGGAAGGTAGCTTGAGCAGCAGAGGTGGGTGGAGCATGACTGGTAGCCAGGATCAGGAGCAGGGTGAGTGGAAACTTTATTAGCAGGAGTGATATGGGGAACTCATCAGCAGTGCGGATGCGGAGAGCGAACGATGTTCACTGCGCAGTGCATCGGGTTTCACAGCTAGTTGCAGTGGCTCACAGCACAGAAGCTGCTTGCGCCTCTCCAGTGCAGTGAGTTGCAGTTTCATAGCACTATTGCTGTCACACTTTGATATGGGGATCTACATATTTATGGGTCTATTTTTAACGTTCAGTTATTCGCTCCGCTCTCTCTCTCTCGAGAGCTGTTTGCGCTTTTATCATCCCCCGCCTTGCTAAGAAATTAACCAATTTTACACAGTCCCTGAGACATAAACTCATGAAATAAACTGCAGCGATTGAAGTGTTGATAAGAGACTTTTCCATTCGTCTGAACATGTACTTGTCTCTCTTTAATAGTGGGCGATTCCATAATTACACAGAGAAAGAAGATCAAAGTGCCCCTCCCCCAGGTCTCTGGATAAAGATTACAGATGAACTTTCCTTTTCTTTGAATCTTTTGACACTAATGTTTATGAAGCATAAGTTCCTTTACCTTTCATTTATTTGCGTGTTTTGCACCTCTGGATGGCTAATTATTAAAGAGGATAGTTAAACAGCTCCTCCAGCCTACCGAAGATATTAATTAAAAACCCATCTATTGCACAGAAGCCAAATTCAGGTCTTCTGTTCCCTTGTACAGCTCCACTAGAATCAAAATACCAAAAGAGTCTTCTGAATTGTGCCTTGCAAATCTTCAAGGGCGTTTCTCTGCATGCACAGAATCCATATTTCTGTATCTAAAATGGTACTTTTGCCCACAGTTACCACTTTAACACAAAAACAAATACTTGCACAAATTTTGTGTACAGTTTAGGAGGCCTGAAAGTGTCTATTGTATTGCTAATACTGGCACATGAGAAACTGAGGCACAGAGAGGTTAAAGTCTTTGTTCGGTGTCCTAGAGTGGTAGTGCAGGGACTAGAACCTGCATCTCTTACTCCCCTGCATTAGAACCTCATTCAGAGCCCACTGAAAGTCAGTAGAAAGACATCCATTGACTGCAATGGGTTTTGTATCAGGCCCTTCCTCCTTTAAGCATTGGACCACTACGGTGATCCTGGTGCATTCAGGCACGCTCCCCTGAGAGATACATGCAGGAAAATCACTATTGAAGAAGGAAAAACAAAATCCCAGTTGATGTTTCGGCGTCCTCTGCATCATGTCAGCTCCACGGTACAGAACAAGGGGTGTCAGAGTAGGGGGCAACACCAGAATGGGGCTAGTCATTTGCTCTACCCAACCTGTCTCGACACTGGCCTTCCCAGAAAGAAACACCAATGAAGTGTCACCTTCAGGGCCTCCTGGCAGTGAGCAGTGCTGGCTGGCTGACACACTGAACTATACACTCAGAGATGAGTTGACTCTCCTGTAACATACCTCTTCTTTTGGCCCTTCTTCCTATTGGACTAAGAGTCAGTGGGACAGATTCAAAGGAGATATGTAGGAGGGAAAGATACTTGTCATCTAAGTGGGAGTGAAGACTACTGGGGCCTAACAGGGAGTAATTGGGCCTACTAAATTACTCCACCTGAGCACATTGTTAGACTCCTCTCTAAATTTGGTTCATTGTTTTAATTGGGAATCGTGGTCACTCAGAGCCAGATTTTTAAAGGTATTTTAAGTGCTTGAGGGAATTTTCAAAAGTATCTAGGCCCCTAAAACTGTCTGTCAAGAGGAGGGCCTTATGTAAGCATCTCATAACAAACCAAGGACACATACACAATGCCACAACTCGGTACACTATTAAATTTATTATTAGGAGAAATGAAAAAGCACCAGAAGTTGCCAACATAGTGTCTGCCTTTTCAACTTTCATATAAAGGGCAGTCTAACAGATTGCTCTCAAAATGTGGGACAAGTGCCTAAACCTACCGAAATTCTTATTCGTTCCAACTTGCCTACTCATCTTTCTTAAAGATCAAAATATTCTTGAAGCTTACCTCGTTATTAAAATGTTTCCCTTTGAAATGAGCTAATATACATTTTACTATCAATGCATCAATGTGATTTTAACCATGAAAATGTCAGAAGATAAACCTGATTATTGTTTTTATCACAGAGAATTTTGTGGCATTTCAGCCAAATTGCCTATTAAGGAAGAGATTTATTTTTTCTTCATCTAAATTTCATGCTAATGAAAAGGTTATTTTTCTCTCCATGTTTCTAATTTGTGGCTTAAAAGCTTAATTCAAACTATTTTAACTTCACTAGGGCCTGGTTTCTACTAAAGCAGAAAGTTGGCTTAAGATACGCAACTCCAGCTATGTTAATTATGTAGTTGGAGTTGAGTATCTTACATCGCCATCCACACAGCAGGAAGTTGACAGGAGCAAATGCTCTCATCAGCTTCCCTGACTCCTCACAGAAGCAGGAATACCAGTGCTGCCAGGGGCACCCTCAGAGTTTGATTTAGCGAATCTGTATTAGACCCGCTAAATCGAACCCCAAAAGATTGACCACAGAGTGTCAATCTTTCATGTAGTGTACAGGGCCGGACCGAGGCATTCTGGCGCCCCGGGCATGGGCATGTGGTGCCGCCCCTGGGCACACGGTGCATGCGCGGGCCTGCCCGTGGGGAGCGGGCCCACCCCCCTAGGGTGCGCAGGTCCGCTCCCGGGGCACACGGCGCATGTGCGGCCTGGTTGTGGCTGCTGGTGTGTGCGCCGGGCCTGTGCCTGGCCATGTAGGGCCCCGTGGCTATGGGGGGAAGGGTGCTGCTGGCCGGTGCCACGGGGCCGGTGCTGCGGGAACCGGGCACGCGGCGCCTGATGGCAGCTGTAAGGGACGCCGTGCGCCCCTTACAGCTGCCGTTAGGTGCTCCCCATCAGTTGGCGCCCTGGGCAGCTGCCAGGCTCACCCATGCCTCCGTCCGGCCCTGGTAGTGTAGACATGGCCTAGATGTTTGCCATTGATAGTAAATGCTAACTTAATTTGTTATAAAGGCAAGAGACGTGCCCATGTTTCCACAGTGTTGTCAATAAGACACAACAATTGCACACAAAACGGTTGCAGCCACATATAGCTTACGGGCCAGATCTTTAGCTGATGTAAATTGCTGCAACTCTATTGACACTTACATCAACTGAGGCTGTGCCTTGATGACTAGATATTGACATTTAGAAGCCAAGGCCCCAAGATTCACCTGTATCAGCTGATGATGATCCAACCAGCTGCTCATCTCCTCCTTTTGTCATTGATTTGGCTCCCTTTTTCCTCTTGCTAGTTGCTAATGCCTTCTTGGAGTTTAATTTGGAGCTTGAAGGGGCATTTGGGGCTATTATGCCAGAATCATGGGCAGTCTGGGAAAGGTTGAGATCGCTACTGTTTGCTTGGCTGACCTTAGATGCTGCTTTTGCTCCTGTCTTTGGTTCTTCGGCTTTTTCAGAATCTTTATCCTGACCCAAATTTCCATCTGGAGATGCACGATTACTGCTTTCCAAGTCCAGCTTAGTAAGGTCAGTCTGCAGCAGCAAGCTGACTGGTGACAGTCCTCTGGTTTTATTAGCGTCTGTATCTAACCTCCTTTCTACTTCCTCCTTTTTGGTAATATTAGACCCAGTCCTTGAGATGCCCTGTAAATCCACAGCAACCCTTTGGATGCTCTCACTCAATCTGGTTCTGCTCATAATGTCCTGAGCTGTGCCTTGGGATCTGGGAGCTGTCTCTTCATTTTTTAGTGGCATTTCACCTTCCTTTCCCAGGCCACCTCCTTCATCTTCAGCAGATTTCTGTTGTTCTGCCTCAGGATTGAAGACAGACTTCTTTCCGGGAAGCTCTCTAACGGAAGCCCACTTGTGTTCTGGGCAATGGCTGTGAAGACAATAAATGAGACCTTTTATTGGGCACTGACACCACATAGTCATCAGGAAGTAGAATAACCTTAGGCCATGTCTTCACTAAGTGGAAGGTCGACGCTGCCACAATCGATCTTGTAGAGTTTGATTTAGTGGCTCTAGTAAAGACCCGCTAAATTGAACTCAGAGGGCACCCACATTGGTGGCTGGTACTCCTGCCCCTGCAAGGAGTAAGGAAAACTAATGGGAGTGTTTGTTCCCATCAGGCTCCTGCTGTGGGGACAACGGGGAACTCTAAACAAGGTACATTGTCTCCAGCTGCATAATTAATGTAGCTGGAGTTGCATATCTTGATTCGACTTTCCCCTTTAATGTAGATCTGGCCCTAGTGAGACACAGATTTGTATTCGGTCTTTGAGAAGGAATGGGTTAGAGTCAAAGCTACAAGCAAGGACTGTGTTTTTAAAAAGGATGCTTAATTCACAATGCTCAAGGAAATGAAACACTGATTAAAGCAAGGGGGGAAGCAGTGCTGGATTTATACACAAGTTAAGTAAGAACAACGAGAAATCCCGTGGCACCTTCTAGACTAATATTTATTGGAGTATTAAATAGTCTATAAGGTAGCTATTAGTCTATAAGGTGCCAAAGGACATCTTGTGGTTTATGCAGATTCAGACTAACATGGCTACCCCTTTGATACTTTCCACCAAGTTGTAAGTTACATCTTAGGGCTTCAGATTATGACGGACCTCTAAATACAAAAAAATGTACTAGTTTTTAGTAGCATCCTCGCCTATGTATCGGCATATATGCAAATATAAAACTTTATTATTTCTATTTTCATTGTCATTTCTGTTAGAAGAATGCACATTTTTTTGGTAATGCTAAACACTGTCGAGCTGGAGGACTTCTTACTCCGATGCCTGTAACTATCATTGTACGAGGAGTAAGGGAAGTTGGAGGAAGAGTGCTCCCTCTTAAACTTGACATATCCTAGGGCCTCAGCATGTCTTAATCTGGTCCTGGGGGAAAGGGAGCAATAGGCTTTCCAAAATAGTGTAATATATAGGCTAAGATTAGCAAATGTTAGACAATTCCTCCAGGAAGCCTATAAATGTCACAGCTTTACTGCTAAATATACTGTGTAATCTCAATTGTAGAGGCAGGACCAATGGGACATGACAGACACGGATCGTGTTCTGTGCTCCTGTAGAGCTTGATATTACATAGTAAGTTGAAAAACAATGCCGAGTTAATAAGGTATCAAAACGCCAACCTAAAACTTGTTCCTTCTTAAAGGAAAGCTGTGACGTGATGTACTAGAGTGAGTGGGCAGGAGAAGCAGATGAATGTTAAGTCACTGCCATTGATTCACTGGGTGTTAATGGCCTCATTGCAGTGCCCTGTTAGGCCCCTGTCACTCCCTTTTTAAGGGGGGGGGGGGGAATAATCAAAGTTAGGCAGGAACCAGAATTTTTGTTTTCTGGGAACATAAGCTCAATGGCTATTAACCAGGATGGGCAGGAATGGTATCCCTAGTCTCTGTTTGGCAGAAGCTGGGAATGGGTGAGGGGGTAGATCACTTGGGGTACATCTATACAGCAATGCGTTATTTTGAAATAATGTCGAAACACTGTCGAGCTGGAGGACTTCTTACTCTGATTCCTGAAACCCTCATTGTACGAGGAGTGAGGGAAGTCAGAAGAAGAGTGCTCTATTTCGAAATAAGTGCTGTATAGATGCTCCCAATTTCGAAATAAGCTATACAATTGATGTAGCTCAATTTGTGTAGCTTATTTTGAGGTAAGCCCTGTGGGGTAGATGCACCCTTGATGATTCCTTGTTCTATTTGTTCCCTCTGGGGCTATGTCTAGACTGCAGGCTTCTTTCGAAAGAGGCTCTTTCGAAAGCATCTTTCGAAAGAGCCTCTTTCGAAAGAAGCCTGCAGTCTAGACATAGCCCCAGAGGGAACAAATAGAACAAGGAATCATCAAGGGTGCATCTACCCCACAGGGCTTACCTCAAAATAAGCTACACAAATTGAGCTACATCAATTGTATAGCTTATTTCGAAATTGGGAGCATCTATACAGCACTTATTTCGAAATAGAGCACTCTTCTTCTGACTTCCCTCACTCCTCGTACAATGAGGGTTTCAGGAATCAGAGTAAGAAGTCCTCCAGCTCGACAGTGTTTCGACATTATTTCAAAATAACGCATTGCTGTATAGATGTACCCCAAGTGATCTACCCCCTCACCCATTCCCAGCTTCTGCCAAACAGAGACTAGGGATACCATTCCTGCCCATCCTGGTTAATAGCCATTGATGGACCTATCTTCTGTGAATTTATCTAGCACTTTTTTGAACCCTGTTTAAATCCTGGCCTTCACAACATCCTCTGGCAAGGAGTTCCACAGGTTCACTGTGTGTGACATGAAGAAATATTTCCTTTTGCTTGTTTTAAACTTGCTACCTATTAATTTCATTTGGTGACCCCTAGTTCTTGTATTATTCACTTTCTCCAGCCCAGTCATGATTTTATAGACCTCTATCATATCTCCCCTTAGTCTCCTCTTTTCTAAGATGAAAAGTCCCAATCTTATTAATCTCTCCTCATATGGCAGCACTTCCATACCCCTAATCATTTTGTTGCCCTTTTCTGAACTAATGGGAAGTTTAATTATTTTGATATTTGTTTTCACATTGAATGGGAATGATAACAACCCTTTTGCAAACATCTCCCATGAAATAAAATGTAAAATAAAATTCACTGGGGGGGTGTCTATCGAAGCATTTCATTTTGACAAAATCAAACTGTTTCACTCTCATTTCAACTTTAAAAAATGGAACCATTCAGTCATTTCAAAATGAAAATTTGAAGCATTCCATGTTGATAATGTCAAAACATTCCTTTTCCACAACCTCAAAATGCTCATTTCCATGGATTTTTTTTTCAAAACAAAATTTTGTTGAAATCAATGTATACATGCAAAAAGTTTCCATTTCCCACCGGAAACCTGTTCAGCTAAAAATGTTTTAACCAGCTGCCATAATAAGGCCCACCAATCTTTGCCAAAAGCAGTAAGATCTCAGGATAGAAAAGTGCTATCTAAGCAATCAATATTTATTGCTATTATTATTATTTCACTAGTGGCTATTCTTTAGTGTGGGTTTGAACGAGTGATCTGAAACATCACTGTGGAGTAGTATTCAAAACCAGAACCCTGCCTTTAGGGCTTCAGCTTGTTTCTAGTCTAAAGTGCAAGGATGATCAGATGGTGCTTTGTCCTGCCGTGAATGGAGGGACCTGACTTGCTGACCTCTCGAGGTCCCTTCCAGTTCTAGTGTTCTGTGATTCTATGCTTCTAATGTCATGAAACTTTGGATAGATAGAAAGAAACTAGGTGGTATGTTCTCTTCTCATGGATTAACTTCAATCACTGGAATGGCCTTCTGGGAGAGAAATTGTCTTCACAAGTGTCCCAGGTGGTTAGGGGAATCATTTGAACAAATCCCCCCTTGAATATTTGCCTTATAAGTATAACTCTCCCATGACTCCACTCTGGGGGTGTGTCTAGACTACAGGGTTTTGTCGACAAAAGTGGACTTTTGTCAACAAAACTATACCTGTGTCTACACTGCCGCTGAGTTCTGTCGACATAACATCAACAGAACTCAGCAGTTTTGTCGACGGCTGTAAACCTCATTCTATGAGGAATAATGCCTTTTGTTGACAGAGTTCTGTCGACAGAAGGCATTATTGCATCTACACTGTCCTTTGCATCTACACTGTCATGTCGACAAAGCGGCTTGCTTTGTTGACAGAATTGGATGTAGTCTAGACGCTCTTTGTCGACAGAAGCTTTGTCGACAGTATCTGTCGACAAAAGCCTGTAGTCTAGACGTACCCTGGTAGTGTAAAGACTGAGGTGAAATTACATTTACATATCAAAGGTTTAAAAGGGACATGGTGTCAATGAGAATTTGATCTTGTTTGACTGTTTAGCAATATACAAATCGATGTTTCTCTATAACAGACACTAGTAAGTACAATGCATTGTAGCTATAAGAGAAAGGAGATACTACCATAATACTCCAGCCAGCATTTATTTAGTGCCTTTCATCCCAAAGGATTTCACAGCACTTTAGAAACAACATATGTAAGGATCACTTCATCCCCCTGTGGCTTGATACACAGCAGTTTGCAACACTACACAATTTAAAACAGGAAGGGAAGAAGACTACCTTGGGAGAACAGGCTGCTAATCTTGTGGGCTCTGACACAGCCCAGAGAATAGACACAGAAATGGGGTTATCCTTACCCATACACAGACTATGCAGCTGTGTAGGGCACCCAAAAATCTGGGGCACCACTGGGTCTTAATGTCTACCCACCCACCTCTTCTTATCCCTGTCCAGTGGCTCTGCATCCTGCAGAGAGGATCTAGTTAACTTCTAAGTGAAAAAGCCGGCCAGAGCTATTAGCAGAACCCACGAAGGAGCCACAACAGTGATAATGGAGCCATTTAATACGCATTCGCCAACCCCAGCTAAAGACTGTCAGTTTCTAAATTGACTATGTAAGTCAACAGGACCTTAGTTTGCTTTACAACTATTTCAATTGTGTGTGAAATTATAAAATCACATCTTTAAAAAAAATCATCATTCCTGCCTCTATCCCAGTCTGCTGTGGGCACAGGGACATCACCACGTTGATTTTTGAATTGCTTCCAGAGCAACTTCCTGGGTATTTTGTTCCTTTCAAAGTTAAACAAACACATCTGAAAGTGAAGTAAAGTAATAGAAATTCTAACCTTTGCTCAGCAGACACTAAATGCCTTAGCAAAGCTTTCACTGCCCCCTGGCCTTCCTTCTGCTTGGAAAACTTGGCTTCTAGCAGGGCCATAAAGAGAGCTTCTACAGAAACCAAGCCATCGCTTAATGGAGCAGGTACTGCTGTAGAGTGTGGGGTGCTTAGCTCCCTGAGCGGAGAACGATAGCTTCAGTACAGTCAATGGCGGCTCTGCAATCAACCCTGCCTCTGCTTTATGTATGCGGGTTCCAAAGAAGTTGTTTGGCAGGTTCAGAAAACCCTCAGCACTATAAACAAGGACTGGTCTCCTAGCAACAGGTGCCTAGCTACCATTGCTAATTGTGGAAGGGGTTCCAGCATTAAACACGCAGAGTGACTTTGACACGGGGGGCGGGTGGGTGTTTCTAGGTAAAACTCTGCGATGATAAAGGCTCAGGGAAGGGCTGCTGTTTGAGTGGGTGCCTGTGTCTGTGTAGCGGAGAGGCGGGGAAGCCAATTTGGTGGGTGGAGTGCTTGGTGACTGGCTTGCTTCAATGCAATCATCCAAGGTCATCTTCAAGTCTTTGAAAGGTCAGGCTTCCCCGCTGTTGACTGACACGATGCCTACTTTCCGTGTCACTTGGAAGCAAACAATGTCAGCTACTTCCTTTCCTTCCCCCTGCACTCGTCACCTGATAAAACCAGACTCCGAGTGGCTGCCCCTATGGATTTTGATCGTGGCGTACCTGCCCTTTCAGGGCAGGCACCAACCGCTTTCCTCAATGCTTCAGCTCCCCTGACTTTGTTAACATCTCTCTGCTGATACCCGTCAGTATGTTGCAGGAGGTGAAGTTCAAAACTGGCAACGCACAGGCAAACCAGGGACAGAGGCGCGTTCAGATTATGTAACGGTCTGCTCAGTACCTGCTTGGGGAGGCAGTCTTTAGACTTGTCTGTGCAGATGGGTACATACCCTTGGGATCAACGTGTAATAATCTGTCCCAAAATGTTTAGCCACAAATGAGTAGCATAACGTAAGGCACTAAAATACTGGGGAGTCCTAACCTGTTTATAGTGAGGGTCATTGGTGGTTCTTTGGCTCATGGCTGGTTCTTTCTTTCCGTACAAATAACAGGCAAAGAACAAGGAGGCTCAGGTTATTGAGCATAGAGGCAGGTGTTTTATATCTTCCTCTTGTGGAGGTGCCTCATAAATTGTCAGAATGACCCTGGAGGTCAGGCGGGGTATCTTGATTCTAATTGGAGCGATTCTTCTCCAGACTGCCTCCAAGTAGTCTCCAGGCTGCTCTAAGTTGCGCCAACTTGTCACGTTCCCATAGGTGATGGTATACGAGCCAGCCAGAGAGCAGCGGGCTCCCTCCCTCTTTTTTCTTACTCTGGCATGGCCCATACCCCAGGGCTACGTCTAGACTGGCATGATTTTCCTCAAATGCTTTTAACAGAAAAGTTTTCCGTTAAAAGCATTTGCGGAAAAGAGCGTCTAGATTGGAACGGATGCTTTTCCGTAAAAGCACTTTTAAGCGTCCGTGCCAATCTAGAGGAGGTTTTGCGCAAGAAAGCCCCGATCGCCATTTTCGCCATCTGGGTTTTTTGGTGCAAAACAATACCGCGTTGTCTACACTGGCCCTCTTGCACAAAAGCATTTGTGCAAGAGGGCTTTTGCCCGAACGGGAGCAGCATAGCATTTCCGCAAGAAGCACTGATTTCAGACAGTAGGAAGTCAGTGTTCTTGCGGAAATTCAAGCAGCCAGTGTAGACAGCTGGCAAATTTTTCCGCAAATCAAATGCTTTTGCAGAAAAACTTGCCAGTCTAGACACAGCCCAGGTGTTTTGAGGGGAGCAGAAAGTATAAAGATATTTTGGAAGCTCCAAGCCACACAATGCACTGCCAGGGGTTGGGCTCTTTATTACCCTGGTGCACTGTGAGAGTGGAAGAAAGGGGTTGAAAGCAACTAGCCTAGGAAGCTGGCATATGGTAAGGAGAGGCCATTTTCTAAGGACACTTTTTAGAGCAGAACCACAGCAAACCCCCTACAGGTGTGGGATCAGGAGTTTCCCAGCCTCAGGGAACCCAGGCTGGTCTGTACTGTATATATCAAGAAAGCCTGTGGTGCTTGCCTGACACAGATGCCTTGGAGCCAAGTTTCAATGGATTTGAAGTGATACTCCATGTCTCCGTAGGAGGAAGAGACAAACTTGTAGGAATCAAAGATCTGCAGCCTGCCCCTTTTCCACCTGGCCCCGAGGCTACTCTCACCGGCCCCCAACCAGATCTCCACATGGACAATGTCATGGAATTGCCTCCTTCCTGCAATGACAAGAAAATGACTTTGCATTTCCCAAAGTTGCCTTTAAAACTGCATGCTGGGAGGTGCTGGGCTAACAGCTCTGGAGGATGTCTTTCCAAAGACAGGCAGTGTCACTGTTTAATCAGCAGCTCTTTTCCTAACCAGAAAGGACTACCAATTCAGACTCCATAGCCATTCAATCATTCATCCCTCTTCCGAGATCACTCCCCTCCCCCTCCAAGAACTCCCAGGAAAGCCACATGGATTGGAACTGTCTGTGATAGGGAAACCTAATAGGATCTTGGAATGAAGCTCTGCAAACTCACGTCAAGCCACCAAACAACTTCAACTAAAACGTGTTGTTAAATTCTCACAATTGTGCTGAAGATTTGGAAAGATGGCACTGGAAAATTTTCCCGCAAAAAGCCTTTCTGGTCTGGTCCCATCAGGAACTGCAGAGGTAGTCATGACTTGAGAATCCCCCAAACCACATCTTCATAACTCAGAAAATGTTCATTCTCAGTTTAATTCCAGAAAGGTGTAAAAAATTGGGAGTGTTATTACTTCATTGAACCTGGATCATTCAAATCCAGATTCACAGCCCTATATGGTGGCTCACAGATACTCTAAGGCTGTGTCTACACTGCACCCCTTTTCCGGAAAAGGGATGCAGATGAGACAAGTCAGAATTGCAAATGCAGCGGGGATTTACATTTCCCCCACTGCATTTGCATGAACATGGCTGCCACTTTTTTCCGGCTCGGGGCTTTGCCGGAAAAAAGCGCCAGTCTAGACAGGGATCTTTCGGAAAATAAAGCCTTTTCCAAAAGGTCCCTTATTCCTGATTTTAAGAGGAATAAGGGACCTTTCGGAAAAGGCTTTATTTTCCGAAAGATCCCTGTCTAGACTGGCGCTTTTTTCCGGCAAAGCCCCGAGCCGGAAAAAGCGGCAGCCATGTTTATGCAAATGAAGTGGGGGGGGTTTAAATCCCCGCTTCATTTGCAATTGCGATGTGTCTA